GTGAGTTTCTTGATGAACAATTACCCAACAGGTGGATAGGTCGACGAGGGCCAGTGGAATGGCCACCGCGATCACCAGACCTCACCCCAATGGACTTCTTCTTTTGGGGTGTTGTCAAAGATAAAGTTTTTTCACGAAAACCACGTACTATGGATGATATGATTTGTAGCATAAGAGAAGCATGTCAAGAAATTGATGACAATAAAGAACTCTGTGCCAAAGTGTGCTCAAATATAGTAAGTAGACTACAAGAATGTGTAAATAATGAAGGCCGGCAATTTGAGCACTTACGAGATTGTACCTAAGTGAACTGTGCCATTGTGACATTTTTTTGAGTTAATAAAGCTATTGTAATAATCATAACTGGCAAGTCTTCCATACAAACAACGGTAAACCTACTTTTGCCTACCCTGGATGGATAAGAGAATTGTAGGGTGGGGAAAAATTTATTCAGAACTGTAGGGACAAATGAGATGTGGCATTTAGTCCAACATTGCATTGTGTTAATCATTCTTACTATTCAAAGAGTCAATGAGGAATAATTTATGAGTGACTGCAGTTATAAATAAGATGGTATATAAGTACCCAAGGGTAGAGAGATAAGGATGGAATTACAGCCTTCAGTTTTTGTTGTTTATCATTTGATTGTTTATGTTACCCCTAGAGACTCAATTTAAGTATCAGTATTCCTAGAACCAGAGTTTACCCAAACACTATTCTCAAGATTTATAGTGTATCTGTAGGCTATCACAATGGTCAGTCTTGCTCCATTCAGCATAAGCGTAACAAATATTAGTGGAGACTGATAAAATTTAGGATCAGCCGAAAAACCAAGGTATCCCTATATAGCACAAATTAGTTGGCCCAACAAGTGACTGACTGTTACAATAACCAGTGATATTGAGGTAGTTTATTTGCATCTTTAGACAGCTCTGTTTTTCTTCTGGGCCCCTAGAACTAAATATCCTAAATTCATTTTGTCCCACAAAACATGAGGAATTGGGTAGATAGGTGACAAACAGCATAGGTTATTTGGAATTGTAGCTCATCCCATAAGGAAACTAACCAACAAAAAGCTGTTTAAGAAACAATTGGCAACTAGTAAGTGAAACAGCCTGCTAGTAATCAAGGAATCAGTATGTAGAAAAGAGAGAAGCCGGTTTATCCAGGATGTCAGAATACAAATACTAAGAACTGGCTAATGAGCAGGCAGATAATTAAACACAATTAGTCTAGGGCTTTATACCTTGTATCTTAGTGACATACATATGATGTATCTACAATTACATTTTCTTACAACAACTAGCAAACACATGTTATGTTTGATTTAGTACATCTCTAGTAGGAGTTTTATGTAATCTCACTCTTACCTACTGAGTACTAGGTAGTTGGTTGTACACCATTCTGTGAAGTATCATGTTTGCAATACTCATTATAAAGAGAAACAAACTAGTAGCTTCAATTGTGAGCCAAAACCTCTGTCAAGCTCAGTATTCACAAGGAATAAACTAATGGGGTAAGTGCCATGAATAAATGGAAAGAGATGGTTTGCGTCCTCACTGGGAAACTTAGCCTTCAAAGATGGCACTACATTAAAAGATTTAATGCAATAGAATCACAAGTGATAAATATTTTTTATTACTTGACTAATAAAGTTGATCAGACATAAATAAGGCTTCCTTTCAAGATGGACTCTTCAGTGAGGTGTTAGCATTTTATAAATTGATTATCAAAGCTGTATTAGACTTAAAAATTGGTCATCGATGCATGTACACCCTACAGGCAAAACTCATGCCAAAATTAAAAACAAGGCTGTGTACTTAATCGTATTACCCCAAAAGAGAATTTACTTTGTGGGGCATTAGTAAGTATATGTATATTTTACTAAGTTTCACAGGAGAGAGTGAGTAGGGAGTTTACAAAAATACCCTGTTTTGTTCACAAAATACCTTGCATTTCTCTTCTAAATACCTTGCTTTTTTTTTACTTGAAAACACATGAGATCAACCCTCTTAAGTTTTAAAGTGTACAGTACATATTGTTCCTCCTAAGCTTTTGTTTCTCATTTAGCTGGCCAGTCTTTGTAAAACTTTACTCCTTTAAGTCTTCTTTCTTATGCAGAATAATTTAGCAGTTGTAATATACAAATGTAGTATGCATAGATTTTAGGGAGAGAGAAACTAATTTGTTGTTCCACTTGTGCATTCATTTGTTGCTGCTTGTATGTGCCCTGATAGGGGATCAAACCTGCAACCTTAGTGTATTGGGATTGATGCTGTAACCAACTGAGCTACTCAGGGCCTACCTAAGTATATTTTTATACTTATTACGAAGTGGCAAATACCAGATTCTGTGTTCTACCATGTGGCACTGATCCTTGGTGCAATGTCCTAAGAACTCTAGCTGCCTGTCACAGAGGCACATAGCTATAGAAAGCCTCTGTCTGACATCTTTGGGGAGCATCTCACTGGATTTAGCCAACAAATTTGATCAGGTATTTGCCAAGGTGTGACTTTTTTTACAACTTGATAGCTTGATTCAGGTCCAGAGTTTGCAAAGGTTCTATTTGTCAACTCTAGCACTTTTACCTTGGCTCAGGCCCTGAGTCAACATTAATGAAGGCAACAGAGGATTGTCTTAAATTTTAATCATAAATACAGGAAGAACTTTAAACTGGTTTAATAAACTTGGAATACATTATCTCTGAGCCTGAACACCTTTAATAAATAACATACAGCATTTGTGAAACAGGTTTTTCTCCATCCTGCACATTTCATTTGGTTGTGGTGCTCATTTATAATAAAACAGAACTTCAAGATATGCAGTTTGGTCTCTGTCATGCTCCATAGATACTTTCCATAACCCAAGAAAGCAAGCTTGACATTTTTGTCTCTAAGCCAGTGATTCTAAAAATGTGGATCTTGGGTCAAACTACATCAGAATTACTTGTTCCTGTTTAGAGTGCAAATTCTTGACAAACCTACCAAAAAAAATCAAATCACTCCTGTATGTGTTTTTGAAAAGGTAACTATTATTACCAAATTAACGTTCCTTTTTTGAGATATTGAAACTGCAATGAAAAGATTGTCTCTGCTTTTAAAATATGATCATGAGAAGTGACACCATAATATTCAACTCATTTATGGGGTATTTTATGAAACCCAGCTCAATATTTTAACAAGCCTTTAGGAATGCAAATTTTATAGGGCATAGCATGAATAATTGTAAGAGGCAGAGTATTTGAACAGTCATGGATTTTTTTTTTTTTTAAAGGAAGCTATGAATTTACAGGGGAAGGAAGGAGAGAAAACTATTTTGAGCTGCACACATTTGAACAGGAAAACTACATGCTTAAAGATAACCATATAAGAAAGATACTTAATTGTAGGGGGTCAGAGAATAGCATTTTCAAAGATTAGTTTTGGGACGAGAGGACTTAACCTGGTCAAATGAGTTAAAGGGATAAAATTTTTATCTAAAAGTTACCTATCTGTATAATGGGTTTAACAAAAACTAATACTGCTAGCCCTGGATGGTGTGGCTCTGTTGGTTAAGCATTGTCCCTGGCACCAAAGGGTCGCTGGTTCGGGTGCATGGGAGAGGCAACTGATGTTTCTCTCCCTTCCCCTCTCTAAAATCAATAAAATTTTTTTTAAAATACTACCCAAATAACCATTTGTTGATAGGCTTTAAAAAAAATTTTTTTTAGCAAGTTCACAATTAGTATCCTGTGAATCCAGTCGTAACTGGGAACTGGTCAAGGGGTTCTTTGACATAAGGAGTACAGCTTTAAAACACCCACAAAGTGTGGATTAAGATAATTGGTCAGAATCCCTCCTTTTCTAGTAATTAATAGGACCAAATTATTTGCAATAAAGAACCAACATCTGATTCCCAGTAGAAGATGGAAAATAGGGACTGGCAACATGACAGCCTAATTTCTGGAGTAGACCTTTTGAAGTAGGACTTATGATAATGAAGGTACCTTTTCCTGGGACACATTTTACTGGCCAAGACAAACTGGTTGGTTCAAGCTCCCAGAAAATAGGCTTAAATTACCTTAGAATGACTTCCAGATATACTCACCCCCAAATACGCAGAGATTCTTCACTACTGTTTGTGCCATGGTCCTTTTGACAGCCCCATAAAACCTACAAATCCCTTGTCAGAATGTTTTGAACTTGTATTTTATAGTGCATACACAAGTCAATTCTATCTATGGACTCCTGGTTAGGAATCACTTGCCAGGTGTTAGTTTTGAGACAAGGCTCAGTAATGAGGACTGTAACTAATGGTATTTCAGAACCCTGTTCAGGTTAGGGGTATGTTGTGTCCTAGCTTCCAGCTAAAACGACCCCTTCTCTCAACTGGCCTTGGAGAAACCTGCTCAGCACAAGTGGCTGCGGTAAGAAGCCAGCTACTTTGAGGAATCTTAAACGCTAAGAGAATTTCGGCTCTTGTCAGTCTGACCAATTAAGAGTTCTAACCTTTTGTGGAAATAGGCCCTTTTATTGTCTATGATAGGTCAAAACTATGAACACAACCAAGATCCATTAAGGGCCCACCAGCCACTTGACACTTTGGGAGAAACCTCTTCATTGCGATCTCCCCCGCGCGCTCGGTAAGGTGGTATTTTGCCCCTGTGAACTTGACCGAGCCGTCTAAACATTCGCTTTGGGTCTGGAAGAGCGAGCCGTGGGTGGCTACGCACCAGATGCAAACTCCTGGCTTGGCACGTCGGGCCTGGCGTTTCCCCATCCGGGCAGCAGGCTGGCCGGCGCGGTGAAGGGCGTAACCCGGGCCGCTTCCTGCGTCACAAGCGGTACCGCGCTCCCTGTGGGGCGGGCGGGCGCGGTCGGCCCACGGTCGGCGCCGGAAAGCGGTTCCCCTCTCCAGAGGCCGGAAGGTCCTAACGCCGAGCCTGCCTGAATGCCTACGGTAGGGTCAGAAGGGGGCAAACTTGGGCCCCGAGGGACGCGCGAGCCGCCGCCGGAACCGCAGCGTCCCAGGAGGAGCGCCGAAACGCACTTCCTCCGCCGCGGAGCGCCGGGGCGGGGCGGGAGACTGCCCCGCCCACTTCCGCCCGGCGTTTTCGGCGGCCCCCACGGGCCCAGGGCTTTAGCTTTTTCTGTATTTAGAGTTTTACTTCATTTCGTCCCACCTGCTCCTCGTTTTGTTCCAAAACAGTATAATGCCACTTCAGCTTCCTCCAACCGTGAGGCACTCTGCTCAGACTCGGAGCCTGGCGCAGCCGCCATCTCTCAGAAACGCTGGGGCCAGTAAGTCCGCTGTCCTGCGGGCGGGAGCAAATGGCTGGTATTCCCGATGCTCTGCTAGGGGAGGCGGGAGCGGTGGAGCTGACCTGTATTTGAATTCTGACTCCCCCACCCCTTAACAGCTGTGTCCAAATTGAAAAAGTTAATCTCCCTTGAGTCTTTTACTATGTTGATGGATCAGAGGAGGTAATGCGTGTAAGGCCCTTAGAAAAATACCTGGCATAGAGTAGTATCTAGCATAAAGGTTAAGTAAAAATAAAGGAAAAGCTATATGTATTTATTGACACCTATTTGCGCATGTCATGCTGTGTTGGGTTTGGAAAGTGTTTGATTCTTCGTCCCCGTGGAAATGGCCTTTTCCCACCTAAATGAGCTGGTGTTTGTCTGATGTCTCTTGAGCATGTTTGCCATCTTCCAGGCTCCTGGTTCCTAAGAAATTTTATGCTTTTATTGAAATTCATCACCACCACCCTTTTGGGGGGGGGGGCGCAGAGCTTTGTACTGAATTAGTATTCAGTTGGGATGGTGGACAAGCCTAAGTTACCTGCAATTTTATTTCACAGGAAATGAAGAGGTAGACTAGCCTCTTCCCAGGTTTATTTTAGGTTGCTGCCTGATAGGAGGCCATAATGCTTCCCAAATACTTGCCCCCTACAGTTTGGAATCAGGTAAAGGGGCAGAGACAGGTCTTAGAGAGCAAGAGAGAGATGCTAGATTTTTTAATTTATTTTTTCAGTTGCACTGATGACTGTAGTACTTGTCTGTGCTTCTTGTGATACTTTATAAGGGAATGATAAAGAAGCATGCCAGGAAAGAGATTATCTTTCACTGAAAAATGGATAAACTTATGACTGATTCATTCATGCTGCACTGAGTCTTGAGATACTGAGGAATAATTAGAACTTTTCCTTTCCAGACTGAGTTGTTAACCTAAGTTTCAGTTGATTTCTGCAATCCCTTCAGGACTCTCTTGTTCTTGCCCATTCAGACACAGTTTAACTGGGACTGAACAATACCGTCAAATACAATTCCCACTGTGCAGTGAATTATCTGATCTCCAAACTGGTTGAAGATCTGGAGGTTCCTTATACTTTACAACAGTTAACTTTTATGTAAGTTATATACAGTAAAAAAACAAACCAAAAGGGAAATGGGAGTATATTTAATGACATGAAAAGATGAATATCATATACTTTAATAAAATATATGTAGTGTAAAAAATTCATGTGTCAGAATATGCATCATCAAAATGTTAATTTCCTCTTTATTTTTAAAATGTTCTACAATGATATATTGCGCTTGTAATAGTGGAAAAAATTATTATTTTGTAAACTGTCTTTGTGACTTATTTCCACAAAGTCACAGAGATGGATATTCTGTTAGCTAAGTCCTCTATTTTCATGGAGGAAAACAAATAAATAATGTCAGTTTGATAAGTCAAGAAATAGAAGCAAACATTATTTAGAAATCTGGAAGTTACCTGTAAAAGTGGTTCCCTCTTGAATTTAAGGTTGAGGATGGGGTCTTGTCCCTTTTCATTTTAAACTCTTGGATATGACTTTTTTCTTTTAAAAATATATGCACGTTTTATTTTGCCAAATAAATTTTAAAAGATAAAATATATTTCAGTGAAATTTTAAAAAATTTATTTCATCCAGGTTATCCTACTCTTACCAGTTACTCTACCCTTTCACTTTGCCACTCAGCAGGAAGAGCTAAGAGAAATTAAACACCTACCTGAAAGGCTCTTTGAATAACACTCAGTATAAAGTAGAGACTAATTATGAATTGCTCAATATAAAGCATGAGGTTTTTTTTTTTCTAATTGAAGGGATAGAAATACAGCCTCTTAATTATAAACTGCATCAAACTCTTTGGGAGGACCCTTTGGCTTGAATCCATTACTAATTATGTGTTACATCACTGTGGGAACTGCATTGCCCAGTTTTCAAGTCACAAGTTGTGCACTTGGCGCCCTCTAGTGTATTGTTTTTAAATGACAAAAGCATAGTTTATCTTTACAGAGCTGTTCACGAGAAGATAAAATGTAAATTTCAGTCCACCTTCCCAGTGTGACTGACGTTGATCCTTTTCTTAACAGCCAAAGAGATTCCTCTCTGCACTTGCCCATGACACTAGGCTGTGACCTTGCACTAGTTCCTTAACCTCTAAGCTTCAGTTTCCTCATCTGTAAAATGAGGGTGATGAATGTATGAACTGTATAGGGTTCCCCTTAGGACTAAATGAGCTAATTAATACATATAATGTAGATGCCCTGCACATACTAGGAGCTCAGTAACTGCTAGCTACGTTCTGCATATATATAGATCCAGTCAATACAAAATATCATTGAAGATAGTAATCAATCTTGTCATACTCTGCTATTCGGGGAATGTGAAGACTAATAAAGAGTACCTGAAAAAAATAAAAGCCTAGGTATGATTCTAGTCTATGGTCCCATTTTACTGAGTCAACGCATGCCAATTCTGATGTCTGGAAGCATGTGCAATTTCTTTGCAACCTTCATAGTGCCCATAATTCACACCCTTAAGAACTACTTGTCTTCACAGCAGAAGAAACCAACAAAATGAAAAGGGAACCTACTGCATGGAAAAACATATTTGCCAATGATACATCTGATAAGGGTTTAATTTCCAAAATATACAAGGAACTCATACATCTCAATACCAGGAAGACAATACAATTAAAAAATGGGTAAAGGGCCTGATAGACACTTCTCCAAAGTGGACATACAGATAGCCAAGAGACACATGAAAAATGCTCAAAGTCACTAATCATCAGAGAGATACAATGAGGTTATCACCTCACACCTGCCAGATGGCTACAATCAATAAATCAACAAGTGCTGGAGAGAATGTGGAGAAAAGGGAACCCCAGTACACTGCTGGTGGGCATACAGACTGGAATAGCCACTGTGAAGAACAGTATGAAGTTTCCTCAAAATATTAAAAGTGGAACTGCCTTTTGACCCAGTGATCCCATTTCTGGGAATATACCCTCAGAATCCTGAAACGCCAATCAGAAAGAATATATGTACCCTTATGTCCAGAGCAGCGTTGTTTATAATAGCTAAGCTCTGGAAACAGCCAAAGTGCCCATCAGTAGATGAGTGGATAAAAAAGCTGTGGGACATTTATATAATGGAATACTATGCAACTGTAAAAAAGAAGGACCACTTACCCTTTGAGATAGCATGGATGAACCTGGAGACTGTTATATTAAGTGACATAAGCCAGTTAGAGAAAGACAAATATCACATGATCTCACTTATATGTGGAATCTAATGAACAAAATAAACTAACAAAATAGATCCAGAAATATAGCTACATGGAACAGACTGACAGATCTCAAAAGGGAGGGGTGGGGGGGATGAGAAGAGATTAGCCAACAAACATATGTGCATATATGCATAAGCCGTGGACAGAGACCATAGCATGGGGAAGGCCTGGGGTGAGGCAGGGGTTGGGTGAAGGGAGGCAAAAAGGGAGAAAATGGGAGACATCTGTAATACTGTCAACAATAAAATAAAATTTGAAGAAAAAAGAACTACTTGCCTTAATATTTTTTTAATGGATAATGTTTTTATTATATTGTCAGCTGTTTTTTTGCTTGGAATCAGCTACCTGGGATCTTCCAAGACTGCTATAACCGCCTCTTGGTTTCTCAGGTAAGAATGCCTGCTGCAGTTCTGCCTGGAAGTCCACCACAGGTACTTGCTGGTGCTGAGATCACCTTATACAGCTGACACTCTTGGTTGTTCAGGGAGGCTGTCCTCCTACATTTGACCTGGACTTCCACCTCTGCTCTACCCTACTTTGTCCTATTTTAATATTTAAGGTAAATGGTTATATGGTAGATCTTAGAAAATACAGAAGATGCAAAATGCTAGAAAGAGAAAAGAATCAGTCTAAAATTTTGAAGATTTGGATTCAAACTCCTTTTTTTAAAACCCAGGGCCCCAAGTGCCTTTTTCTGGATTAGTGCAGTTTCTCAACAGGCTGTGGACAGTATTCATGTTATCAGTGTACAGTGTAGAAAGCAGCATGGTTGGCTGTACAGGACCCATGTAAGTCTGGATTTACAGATCAATGAGAGTAAATTCCAAGTTTCTCATCCATTCTCACCTAATTCCAGCATAGTTTAGGCTCTACAGGTAAAATTTATTTCCTCTGATACATCTAAGAGATATCTTCTCTCTCTGGATATTCTAGGAGAGCATCGTGCATTGACCAACATGGACTTTGATGCTTAGCATCACTAGCTCCTGGCTCCCCAAGAACCCAGTTACCTGAAGATAGCATTTGGTGCTTCTGATGCCTGAGTCCCTCTGGAGTCTTTGGTTGGTCCTGTATATAAAAATGTCCCCATGCTTATTTTTCCCATATGTCATATGCTAAACATTTCAGTATTGTTTCTTTTTCTCTCCCACTGCCTCAGTGCTAAACCAGATGAATTTTTTCATGAATAGTTACCACCTAACCATTTATCGAGCTTCTAGTATATGCTTGGACACTATACTAGGTATTTTACGAACATAATTTCTTACTCTCACAATCACAATCCAGCAAGATAGAGGCTACTATCCCCATTTTCCAGAAGAGAAAATTGCACTAAGTAACCCAGATAAGTGTCAGAGCCAGACTTCCAACCTGAGTCAGCCTCTAGAGCCCATGGCCTCAACACTGCATCAGAAACACTTATCAAAGAGAAATTTTAAGTTATGCAGCCTTCAGAAGTGCAATGAGAATCCTGCAACTCCCTTCAGAAACTAAGCCAGCAGTTCTGAGGTTTCCTTTGCAAGAAAGCCCACCTATCTAGCCCTCTCATGTTAGCTTGGCACCTTGCAGTTTTCAAAAGTTGGCCTGTAGGGCATCTCATTTTCTCTTCCAGAAAAACTTTTGCACTCATCCACTGAATCTCTAAGCTGTGGCAGCAGGTTCTTTTCCGGCAGAAGATTACAGCTGATATTTACTACTCGGGATACACTGCAAAGCCCAAGCCTTACAGCTGGGAACACTGAGGTCTGGCAGTGCAAGCATGTAAAAGAAATCTTATCGGGGGAGGGTGTTCACACGCTGGCCATCCTGCTCATAGTGCACTGGGCAGTGAGCTCTCCCACTGGAAAGTGTACCACAGAACCAAAGGCAGTGTCTTGGCCTCCAAAACCACATTCAGCATTCCTTCCATCTGCTGGGCCTTCCCAACACATGCTCATACACTATGCCAACCACGGGGTCTCCTAATTGCTTTTCCTCTCTTTAAATCTTTCTTCCCCATCCCCAACTTGATTTTGTCCTTAAAAGCTTCCTTCAGGTTTACACCTTAACCTCATTGTAGGACCCCAGTGAATGCTAAGGCTTGTGTGGGTGAAAGATTATAAATCAAAGCTGAAGACACAGGCAATAGAGGAAGGGCCACAACTTAAAAACAAATGAACCTTTCATCCCAGTGGGCTTTTTCTTGTTTTTCTGAAGCCTGATGTTCCAGCAGAGCACTTGACCAGAAGCTATGGTTTCTGGAAATTTTTAGAGAGATTAAGCACTAACAACAGTTGCCCATATGTGTCCTCTGCAAGAGTTTCAGCAAAACTCAGGGGCCTGGAGAAGTTCTGTTATTTCAGTGAACTTGTTTCTCCCCTTAGCAAAGTAGGTTGCACTTCTTTTTCTTTAGGAGAAATTGATTTATTTTTAAAAAATTGATTCTACAGAGAGAGAAGAAGGAAAGGGGGGGAGAGAGAGAGAGGGATTTGTTGTTACATGCATCCCTGCAGTCATTGGTTCCTTCTTGTATGTACTGACTGGGGATTGAACCTCTAACTAACTGAGCTACCTGGCCAGGGCATAGGTTTTACACTTGAAAAGCAACTTAATGCATATAATTAACCATCATTTTCTTTATAATTGAGAAGTTTCACAAAATGACAGAAGGGTTCAGATCTGAAAGATCTGACTATAATTTAAGAAAAACTAAATCTTGTCAGTTCTCAATTATCTGTGTTAGTGGAGATGATCAAGAGAGAAAGTTCCAGTGGGATTTCAATTCACTGTTCATTTACATTGGTTTTATGAGTGATTTTTAGTAATTAACATTTTTATATGGGTATGTCTGGGGTTTTGGGGAATTTACATCTGCTTACAGCAAATAACAAAGCTACTCAGTGAAGATGCTGACTGGGCTGGAATGCTGTCAAATAACTTCCAACCTCTGGACCAACTCTGCTGAGGGTTGGAACAAAAAGGGGTTTGGCTTCAGACAGAGGAAGGATTAAATACTGATGCTGTTGTGTGACTTCAGATTCCTCATTTGAAAAATAGGAGAAATAAAGTACCTTGATCATGGTATCAGAGAAAGTTATGAGGGAATTCTCAGACACAACCATGAAATACATCCAACATTCAATCAGGTATGATTTTAATCTGGAGGGAGCATGAATGGGTTACAGATTTCCATGAGTTGATCAGAGCTGCTAAATAACTTGGGTTAGTTAGGTGGGCTTCACCAACTTCTATTTCTTTAATTTTTTTTACATTTATCTTTATTGTTGGAAGTATTATAGATGTCTTCCTCCCTCCCCCCCCATTGGTCCCCTCCTCCCTGCATCTGCCCCACTCCCAGGCCTTCCCCATGCTAATGTCTGTGTCCATGAGTTATTCATATATGCATATAAGTCCTTTGATTAATCTCTCCCCACCCACTCCCCCACTCCCACCTTCCCTCTGAGATTCCTCAGTCTGTTCCATGCTTCTATGTTTCTGGATCTATTTTGTTCATCAGTTTATTTTGTCCATTATATTCCACATATGAGTGAGATCATGTGACACCTGTCTTTCTCTGACTGGCTTATTTCACTTAGTATAATACTCTCCAGTTCCATCCATGCTGTCCCAAACGGTAAGAGATCCTTTTTATAGCTGCATAGTATTCCGTGGTATAAATGTCCCACAGCTTTTTTATCCACTCATCTACTGATGGGCACTTCGGCTGTTTCCAGATTTTAGCTATTGTAAATTGCACTGCTATGAATATAGGGGTGCATAAGTTCTTTCTAATTAGTGGTTTGGGTTTGTTAGGATATAGTCCTAGAAGTGGGATCACTGGGTCAAATGGCAGTTCCATATTCAATTTTTTGAGAAAACTCCATACTGTTTTCCATAGTGGCTGCACCAGTTTGCATTCCAGCCAGCAGTGTACGAGGGTTCCATTTTCTCCATGTCTTCACCAGCACTTGTCATTTGATGATTTGACCAAACTCTCTTTAAATTATGACATTCTGGTTATAGATTATAAAGGGGCTCAGTATGTACCAGGAAGGTCACAGACTAGCCTCTGGCAAGAATCTGGCCAATTAGCATCTCAGCTCAGAAGGTAAACATTTTGTATTCCTAAGTCATCCAGAAGCTCTAGAATTTCTTTTAAAAAGTTGCTCGTCCTTGGTTTATCCTTAGTCACCTTAACTTATCCTGTTAATACATGAATAATTATAATTCTCAATAATTTGTTTGAATTCATACTGAGTGCCAGATATGGCCTGCAATTAAATACATTGCCTGAGAGGTTAGATGGCAAGAATCCTCATTTGGGCAGCCCTCCTACACAAAATTGTGTCTGAATTGTGTCTTGGG